TGAGAATGAAAACCTGTAACTGATCATAGTAAATCATTATAATCAGTTCCAGGTTTTTATTCTCACGCACTCAAATCGGGCGTTACTTTTGATGGCTACTGTACGTACGTACGTACATGCAGACCCTAAAATTCTTTGCTTTTCAATACTTGTATCACGTGTAAATTACCAAGCAGAACACCAAGTTTTTTAAATACTTTTGCAAATGAGGATTAAAAAACGCGCATATGTTTATAGATAATAATTTTTTTAAAACTGATATTCGTGGGATTATGCCTTTTTTTAAATAAAAAACCCATCAAAAAATTTCATTTTGCGCAAATATTTTTCTAAAAAAATAATTCCTGTAAAGAATTTTTAAAGAAAGCACCGTTTGTATATTAAATATTTTAAACACATTCAAATAATGTATGTTTTAAAAAACATCTGCCATATTTTGCACAATAACGCGCATTTGCGCGTTATTTTAAGCATCTGTACATTATTTTGGGACGCACATGTGCGATATTTTATAACGAACATAATATATTCAATATAAAAGTCAAATAGCATTAGCAATCCAGATGCGTAGGGATGCGTTATTTCGAGAGTAAATATACAATTTTCAAAAAGTAGAAGTTTCAAAAAGTACGTCATTACTCGCATAGTTTAAGTTTTTTTAAAAGTTTTTAGTGTGTTTGGCTAGTATGAAATATAATTATAAAAAAGCACAAAAAATTTAGGGTGTATTCTTCTGCAGTAGCAAAAATTTCCTTGCAAAATTTTGGTAAGCATCGGTACAATAATATCTCTAACTCTTATATAATGCTTATTACTTTAAACAATCGCGCATATTCGTTGTTTGGATGAGATCTGATTGGTAAAAATTAGCGTTGTAAACTTAATTAAATTTAGTAATAAAGCATTTCTGAAGGGCACAAAAAATGATAAATCATAATAAAATTCATTTGTTTTTTCTATAGTCAGAAATGGGGCTTCTTACATTTTTTTATTAAGTAAACCTTCTTTTAGCTTTAATAAAAGTTGCAGAGCTAATTTTTCTGATTCTAATGGTGGTAAAATAATCAAAATCGGTTGGATATATTATAAGATATGAGTATTTTTCAATCGTTTACTATAGGGGTTTTTCTTAAGAAACGGGGACATTCCACTTACTATACTGTATAAGGTAACTAGTAAATGCCCACCGATTGTTACTATGTTGTTCCCTTTAACTGTGGACTACCAATTAAATGTTAAAATAAATATATTACAAAATATTTTTGTAAATAATTACTTTAATTGCAATATATCATAATTCAATTTAGAGTTATAAAAGCAAAATTTTATTATAGTAATTTAATAATAATTTTGTCATTGATATAATATACTGTATACTTCTGTACTGTTTGATGTAATGCCTTTTATTGTACGTACAGTGCTGATACTATGTGGTTAAAACCAGGTATTCAATAAAATAGTACTGTACGGCGGATGGACATACTAAATTTTGATGATACGCACGGTTAATATAGACTTGCAAAATTCAATCTTTATAAGTAACAATTTTAATGATGTTTCATGTTGAAGTTAGTAGTAAAAGTAACTTGGGCTTGACGAATTTTTTCTTTTACAAACCGTACGTACTATCTTGATTTCTACACATTTGTCCTAATTTGCGTTTCTGTACCGTACTATTTTACTATTTACCCGTTAAACCCCATTATTACGTGCACGTACGTACGTAATTTAAATAACTTGTACATATTTACAACAGGAGGAACGACTACCTTCACCCGGTGTGCAACGTATGTGTACATTATTGGACAGACGACAAAAAATAAGTCAATTTTTTTTTGTCGGAATTAATGTCACTCCATGTGCTGCTACGCAGCACATGAGTGAAATTAACTCCGATGAAAAAAAAAATTGACTGTTATTTGTCGTACCTATGTTCATGATGTTATTGGATAGTTAATATGACCATGTGAAGTTTTTTCTGTGATATTTTGCAAAATTGATTACGTAATTTCATGTAAAAAATATCATGGCAAAAAAATTCACATGATCATATGAAATGTCGAATAATATGTCATATTGCAAGAAAACAGATATTTATAGCCTTGGCATGATATTTTGGGAATTATCTAGTGGTCGTCCGCCATTCGAAAATTATCCAAATCATATTTGTTTATCAATCAAGATTGTTCAAGGTGTTAGAGAAGATATGATTTCCGGAACTCCTGAAGAATATAAGAATCTTTATAGCAAATGCTGGGATGCAGATCAACATAAACGACCAGATATTGAATATGTGCACAAATTTTTGGAAGGAATGACTAAAATCTTGCCAAATGGTTACTTTACAGTTACTAATTCTGAAGGTATTATAATCTTTTTATTTAGTTTTAGATCTATACTAAAATAATAGTTATTTACTAACAATTAATTAAAATTTTAAGATGACAATAACTCAATAACTGAACAAACACAATCGATCGAAAAATTCTACGGTAAATTGTGTTTTTATTTAATATCATCCTATTAATATTTATATATTTAATTCTTGTGTTATTTTGCAATTATCAGATTCAGGTCTTCGAAACCTATAAACGTAATAGTAAATAACAGAATTAAAAGTCATTCAAATAAATATTAGATATTATTCGACATTTCATATGATCATGTGAATTTTTTTGCCATGATATTTTTTACATGAAATTACGTAATCAGTTT